CAGCAGCTGCCCAGAAGAGGCACCATAATACTGCAGGTAGGGGCACTGATCACGTGAGAGGCCAGCATCCCTACCCTATCAGACCACCTCTCCCAGATTCCTAGAGGGAAAAGCCCTTTTTCTACAACCCACAATTTGAGAATTATCAAGAATATTTGGACTGGAGAATCCTGGGAAAAACATGTGGGATGACTGACTAAGCAACAAGGTGGGGACTCGGAACATCATAATGGCTATTCACCAGCCAGTGGAGCCCAGACCATATAATTTCCATGGGTAGCATCTGATGTGTGTATTCAGTAAATTGAACTCAATACTTGAATCATTCTCCAATTTTTTGTAGACTATACAAATCTTTGCCCCATTAAAAGACAATTTGCTACTGTATAAGAAGTGTGAGACAAAGTAGGGGGGAAACACTTCTAACATAAGGCAGAATGTGGCAAGGGCTACGTGAGAAATAGAATGAGTGTCCTGCATTCACAGGCAGAAAAGAAAATTATAACAGAGATCCACGTACATCTTTATCAAGGAGGTAGCATTTGAGCTGGGGACTTGAAAGATGGAGAGTTTGAATAGAGCAGGAGATGTGGAGGAGACAATGAGTATAAAGGCACAAATGTGGGGAAAGATAGAATATATTCAAATTTGGTGAAATTATACATTGTGAATGCAAATTGTAAGAGGAATATGCCAAAAACACAAGTTCAGTAATCTCGAGGACACTTTTTTTTAATGTTCAGTTATTTTTGAGAAAGAGAGAGAGAGAGAGAGAGAGCAAGCAAGCTGGGGAGGAGCAGAGAAAGGGACACAGAGGATCCAAAGCAGCCCAATGTGGGGCTAGAATTCACAAATCGTGAGATCATGACCTCAGCCAGTCAGAGGCTTAACTGACTGAGCCACTCAGGCGCCCCTATGGAAATATTTTTAATGAAGACATCATGATTTACTTTAAAAATCTTCTGTGGAAATCTAAGTGTGGAGAGAGAACTGATGACACCCTCTGCTCTCCTCCTTTGCTTCCAAAATACTCAACATAGAGAGAGGTGCCTGGGTGGCTCAGTCGGTTAAGCGCCTGACTTCAGCTCAGGTGACAGTCTCATGGTTCATGAGTTTGAACCCCACAAGGGATTAGTGAGTTTAAGCCCTGTGTTGGGCTCTGCACTGGAGCCTGCTTTGGATTCTGTGTCTCCCTTTCTCTCTGCCCCTACCCTTCTCTCAAAAATAAATAAAAAACAAAATCAAAATATTCAACACAGAAAAGTACAAAGAATGATACAACACCTATACACCCCATTCAAGATTTTACCAATTTTAATCCTTTTCCATGTTTGTTTTCAGCCTTATTTTTAAGAAATCTTTTTGCAATACTTTACTGATAACAAGCAAGGCTGCAATAAATATCCTAATGATAATAAGAGGCTACATTTGTTGAGTGCTTACTCTGTGTCAGCCACTGCCATATGTGAATTAATTCATGCACAGCAACTATATGCAGAAGGTACTAGATTTACCTCCATCTCATAGATGGGTTACTAACAGAAAAGCTACATCACTTTCTCCAGATTAAAGGGCCAAAAAATGGTGGGGCTGGAATTGGAATCCAGATAGCCTGACACTTTTTAAAACCACTAAGTTAAGCTTTGCTTGGTCTTCTATGTCTCCCTGGGCCTTGTATGAGAATTCCTCTAAGGCAGTGGTTCTCAAAATTAAACGTGCACCAGAATCATCTGGAAGGTTTTTTAGACCAGATTGCTGTCAATTCCTCCCCCACCTGAGGTTTCTGATTCAGTACATCTGGGATGAGGCCTAAAAATGTGCATGTCTAACAACTTCCCAGGTGATGCTGAGTCCGCTAATTCTGGAACGCACTCGGAGAACCACTGCTCTGAGGAGAATAGACCAACACATGGAATCACTAGGTTGTAGGATATACTCGCTTTGGCAGCACATATACTAAAATTGGAAGACTACAGAGAAGAAATATGCACCTTCTACTGTATTTGATAATGACCAATTTCTCTCAAAGTGATCACACCAACTTACACTCCCACCTGCAGTGGATGAAAGTTCCATTTGTGCACATTCTCAACAACACTTCATAAAGTCATTAAAAATTTTACCAACCTGGGGAGCTTGGGTGGCTCAGTTGGTTGAGTGGTCTGACTCGATTTCAGCTCAGGTCAAGATCCCAGGGTCATGGGTCATCAGGCTCTACACTGAGCATGGAGCCTTCTTGTTTCCTGTATGAAATGTGCATGATTCTGTTCTGACTTCATAGTCACTTTCAGGCTTGTAAATCTGTTAATGCTCGCTCAATAATATATTGTGTTCTTTTGTCTATATTGGTACAGAGGGATCTTTTGTTGGCAAGATTGCTTCCTTTACACAGCGGAACCACCCAGTCTCACTGATACATATACACCCCTTAAATCTTCGTGTTCCCATATACACATAGGTCTCTTTCTGAGCTTTCTCTTGTTTCATTGCTCTATTTATCTGTCTTTGCATCAGTTCCACACTGTCTCAATTAAGGTGACTTTTTTTTTTTTTTTAATTTTTTTTTCAACATTTATTTATTTTTGGGACAGAGAGAGACAGAGCATGAACGGGGGAGGGGCAGAGAGAGAGGGAGACACAGAATTGGAAACAGGCTCCAGGCTCTGAGCCATCAGCCCAGAGCCCGACGTGGGGCTCGAACTCACGGAGCGCGAGATCGTGACCTGGCTGAAGTCGGACGCTTAACCGACTGCGCCACCCAGGCGCCACCTAAGGTGACTTTTTAATCAATCCTAATATCTAACACAGTTAAGTCTCTCCACCCAACTTGTTCATCTTCAAAATTGTCTTGACTGTTCTTGGCCCTTTACCCTTCTTATAAACTTCAGAATCTGCTTGTTAAGTTCTGCAAAAATCTTTGAAATTTTGGTTGGAATTCTGCTGAATTTAGAACTAAATCTTGGGAGACCTAACATCTGAAAAATATTGTTTTCCCATCCATAAATACGGAATTATCTCTCTAGTTATTCAGGTTTTCTTCAATGTCCTTCAAGACCTTTATGAAGAAAATAATAAAATATTGTTGTATATCTTATCCTACATCTATTCCTAGGTACTTTATAGGTTTTGTGCTACTGTGAATGGTCTTTTGAAGAACTGTGTTTTCTAATTAGTTATTTTTGATGTGTGGGAATGCTGTTGATTGTTTTATGTTGCTCTTGTATCCAGCAACTTTGCTGAACTTTTTTAGTTGTAAGAGTTTGGAGTGGATAGTCTTTGGTTTTCTAGGTAAAGAGATGTTTTTATCTCTTCTTTCTCAATTCCTGTATAGAAATAAAAGGCTTTTCTCCTTTAATCCATTACTTTGTTAAATGCCTAGACACTGCTTAACCCATTGTAAACTCAATACACAAATTAAAAAAAAATTTTTAATGTTTATTTATTTTTGAGAGAGAGACAGAGGGTGAGTGGAGGAGGGACAGAGAGAGAGGGAGACACAGAATCTCAAGCAGGATACAGGCTTCGAGCTGTCAGCACAGAACCGGACACAGGGCTCAAACTCATGAATCGCAAGTCAGACACTTAACCGACTGAGCCACCCAGGCGCCCCTCAATAAACAAATTTTTTAATTAATATAATGGATTAATCTATTTTCTTCCTTGCCTTCCTAGGATAAACCATACTTGGTCATTATGTATTAATTTTTATATGATTCTGAGTTTGACTTCTACTTATTTAAAATTTTGCATTTATTTTCATAGACAAGATTAGCTCATACTTTTATCCCCTGATATCAACCTTGAATGTTTTGGGTATTAAGGTTGTATTAATCTCAACAATGCATTGGGTAGCTGTCTCTATTATTCTATCATTTGAAGAGTTTGTGGATTGTCTGTGCCTCCAATGTTTGGTAAAACCTCTGAAACCATCTAGGCCTGATGTCTGTTTGAGGGCAACATGTTCAACTCTGATTTAACAGTTATTTGCTTTTTTGGGGTTTCCTATATCTTCTCCAATCTTGATATCTTAGTCTTCTAAGAAACTGTCCATTTCATCGACAGTTTCTAATTTAATTTCACTAAAGGCATTCGGAAAACTCCACCCCCAAAAGTGCCACTCTATCATATTAAGTTAAAACCACTTAAAATTAGCAATGCAAAAAGGGCATTCTAACTTTCCTACAAGCAGGAGATGAAACTCCCAAGTAAAAGGTGCCCTCCCTGAACCAGGAGAAAGAGAGACATTTTTATCACTAGGGGGCGGCACTTCACCCCTCCCTGTGAGCGGGGAAGTTGAGGCCAAGAGAAATCTGTGCAAATCCTGTTAAACTAACTCTTCTCTTTGTGGTCACTAACCGCCCTGGCCCAAATACCTTCGTCTTATCACTTTTCCACAATTTACCACTCTGCCCCACTTAATTATGTGTTGACTCAAACTGCTTCTTTAGGTTTTCATTTCCTTATGAAGGCTCCCATGTCTTACATAGATGTGTATGCTTTCCCCCTTTTAATGCCTTTTGTTACAGGGACCCCAGTCAAGAACCTATTAAGGGTAGAATGAAAGGGTTTTTTTCTCCTCTACATCACAAAGTTGCATAGTATTATCTCTAGTCAGGGCTCCTTTTTCATTCTTAATAGTGTTTGAAGAGGAGGTTCCTATGCGAAGTAACCGTTTAAAAGCTTGAACCTAAATAATATACCAAATAGTTATAAACTTACAAATATCATGTGTTTTGAAACTAAAAAAACGTATTCGATTCATAGGTCAAAGAAAAAAAATCACAAAATATTTTGAAAAGTGTAAGTGCTATTCATTATTATAACCGGTGGGTTATAAATTTAGCCTAAGTGCATTTATTTGCACACGCACGAAAAAAAAACGTTCAACGAAGAACTTGGAAAAGAAACATCGTAGGAAACTAAAACAAACAAAAACCAAAGATGGGGGGAAAAAAAAACAAAAGCACGACGTCGCGGCGCTTTACGGTCGTCACGCTCACGTGTCTGAGGTCGTGGCGGCCATGAAGCAGGACAGGCCGAGAGCCAGAGCCTTGGTGCTGGAACCGGATCCCGAGCCCAAGGACGAGAAGGAGGAGGGAGAGCGGCTGCAGCAAGAAGCGGGTGGTGCCTGTGGTGACATACCGGAGCCACAACCCGCCGCTCCTCCTGCCTCTGCGCGTGCGCAGCGGACTTGGCGCCACTGGCGAGGCCCGGCGGCTTTTCTGTTAGCCCGTGGGTGGTGCGCGCGGCGCCGAGGAGGACGTTCGCGGAGAAGCGGCCGGAGGAGAATAAGGACCACGCCCAGGGGAGGGGCCACGGGCACCCGAAAGCGCTAGCCTCTTATGGCGGCCGCCGAGGGAACTGTAGGCACCTGCTCGGCGTCGCCTGGGACCTCCCCAGGACGCTGGCGACTCCAGCCTCCGCCCCCAGCGTCCTGAGGCCGCGCTTGGGCGGCGCGGACTGAGGCCCGGAGCACCCAGCTCCGGCTTGGGCTACCGGCCGCTGCTCTTCGTAGAGCTGCGGGAAATTTTTAGTTTTTTGATTGATCTGTCCGTTTCCGAGGTGGGTATGTTAAAAATCTCACACTGGTGTCGAGATTATGTCAGATTTTTTTTCTTCCGATTCTGTCCCCGTTTGCAGTACATCACTTGGAGTTCTATTTTTCAGATGCACCCAAGTATCCTTCTGGACCACAACCGGGATTGGAGTGAAGCGGTAGCCTCGGACAAAATTTAAACGGACGCCCAAAAAACTCAGTAATTGAGATAAATAATATTTTCAGGCAATATTTTTGAAAACAAAGGTTTATACCAAAAAAATGATGAATAAAACACAGTTGACCCTTGGAAAACATAGGCTTGAACCGTGTGGGTCCACCTATACAGAGATTTCTTTTTGATACAGTGCTTTAAATATACTTTCCTTAGGGTATTCTTAACATTTTCTTTAGCTTACTTTAAGAGTACAGTATATAATACATGTCACATACAAAATATGTATCAGCTGTTTATGGTACTGGTAAGGCTTCTGGTCAAGGGTAGGCTATTAGTCAAGTTTGGGGAGAGTCAAAAGTTATGTGGGGATTTTCCTCTAGGGGAGGGTGAAGTAGGGCTCCTTACTCCTAGGGTGTTCAATGGTCAGCCTTCCTACAATTTAAAAAAAAAAAAAACAAAAACAAAAAACATGGGGCGCCTGGGTGGCGCAGTCGGTTAAGCGTCCGACTTCAGCCAGGTCACGATCTCGCGGTCCATGAGTTCGAGCCCCGCGTCAGGCTCTGGCTGATGGCTCGGAGCCTGGAGCCTGTTTCCGATTCTGTGTCTCCCTCTCTCTCTGCCCCTCCCCCATTCATGCTCTGTCTCTCTCTGTCCCAAAAATAAATAAAAACGTTGAAAAAAAAAAAAAAGAAGAAAAAAACAAAACAAAACAAAATTTGACCCTGCACTTGCATGACAGGTCTAAATGTACCTTCTTGGTGAACTGATACTTTTTATCCTTCTGTAAAATTCCTTTAGTCCTACTGCAAGTTTTTGCCTAAATTCTACTTTTCTACTATTAATATTGTGACACTAACCTTTTGGCTAAATTTACTTATTCGCCTTATTTTTTTGTTTTCTTTTTATCATCCTCCCCTCTCCCCCTCCTTCCTTGGATTGATAAGTTTTCTTTTTTTATTTTGTTTTTTTACTGAAAATTTAGCTTGGGTTAGGTCAAGGAAAAACTCCCTTGGGAAAATATCGACACTATCTCAAACGTTTTTGAGTTTGAATGGTTTGAATAAACTCATCATTTTACTAATGAAAGTGATAGGTCAATAAAATTCCATAAGCATTTGTGTAGTACCTACCTTGTGTCTTTTATTGTTCTAAGCACTAAATATACAAAAATTAGTAAGTCATGGTACCTGCCCTCAGGATACCACCAATAGCAGATGTTTTTCTAACGTTATCTTACAGGACCTCCTTTCTGCACGTGACATTGGTACCCATTCCTTCCTGGAAATTTTCCATATCCCAGATTAACAAAATACGCATCTCTCCTAATTCTCCTAATACTGAGAAATTGCATTCTCTGCTCTTGAACCCCTCCTCTCCTCAACAGTTATTCCTCAAAGTTCCATCCTTGACCTTCCACTCTTCTTTCCATTCACATCTCATGCTTTGAATTACTACCTATGTCGGTAACTTTTAAATATCTTTATCTACTTTACCCTTTATGCCAGTAATCCTGACGTATGTTCAACTGCTGTGTTTTGTCTTTTTTTTTTTTTTTTTTTTTTTGAGAGAGAGAGAGAGCATGAGTGGGGGAAAAGAGCAGAAGGAGAGAGAAAGAATCTTAAGCAGGCTCCATGCTCGGCGCAGAGCCCAACGCAGGGCTTACTCCCGCCACCCTGGGATCATGACCTGAGCCAAAATCAAGTCGGATGCTCAACCAACTGAGACACCCAGGTGTCCGTCCACTGCTGTTGAACATACATCCGAATAGTCCACAGGCTGTAGATGACTCAATAAATCCCGGACTGAAGACATTATTTCCTACCACTGAAACATCCTTCCTTTCCTTGTCTCACTGAAAGGTCATTTACTGCTCCCCAAGCCAGAAACCCAAGTGTCACGCCATCCTCTGGCACTCCACAGCCAGTCACAAACTTCTGTATATTTTACTCTCTGTGACGTTTCTCAGATTTGTCCCCCACCTTCTCATCCCTGTTACCACTGCCCGAATTCAAGACCTCATCAAGTCTCCTTTCCCCCAGTCTTGCTGTTTCCTTATGTGAGTCCGTGGTGCCACAACATCCTGTGCTTTCCTGTCATTACCGTGTATAAAATGAAGGGTTGATAGGACTATGTGTTTTTTTTTTAATTTTTTTTAATGTTTATTTATTTTTGAGACCGAGAGAGACAGAGCATGAACAGGGGAGGGTCAGAGAGAGGGAGACACAGAATCTGAAATGGGCTCCAGGCTCTGAGCTGTCAGCACAGAGCCCGACGCGGGGCTCGAACTCACGGACCGCGAGATCATGACCTGAGCCCAAGTCGGCTGCTTAACGGACTGAGCCACTCAGGTGCCCCAAGGACTATGTCTTTTGACTGTGAGCTCCCTCAGTGTATCTGTGTGCCCACACCACACAGAACAGTGCCTGGTATTTGTGCTCAATAAATGTCTCTTGAGCTGAACTAAGCTCTCATGTCTTCTATTTCATTTTATTTTGTTTTAACGCTTATAATGCTATTAAAATTATTTTCCTTTTTTTTTTTTTTTTTTTTTTTTTTTTTTTG